TAGTACTAGCCGAGGAAGGCTAGTATCAATTTATCATTGAAACGAATGAACGAATCGCAGAAGGAATTGTCTGTCACAGACGCTGAATCCTAAAACTTCTGTACGAAAGCAGTGTTGCTTACCAATGCGCCATACCCGTCAGCCATATTGCTAAAATGCTAGAGGAAAAGTGCCGCATCTGGGGAAAAAAAAAGAAAATAGAACAAAACTAAGAAAAAAAGTATTATTTTTGAAATTAGTAAAAGCAAAGTCACTCGCTGTTAAATGCAGAAATACGTTATTTCAATAGGATCTAATGCTGAAATTACCCCGTCTGTGTAAATAGTATATACCACAAATCACAATCGCTACAAGATATACCTAATTCGGAAACACACAAAGTCGGAACTCATGATAAATTCTAATGAAAAGGAAGAAAAAAAGCAAAGGAAGAGACGAAAAGCATATAACTCATCCGATCATTTAGCTTTGATTGTAGCAATCGCGAACGGATTGCCACAAGACGAACAACGATGAAACAAGAGCTGATCAAAATAAGTATATGAAGGTAGCAGTAATAGCAAGCACGACGAAACATCGTCACATCAGAAGAGGACTCTACCACGCACCAGAAAACCACCATAAGCCCCGAAATATGAAACTTCATAGTACACACTGTATTCAAACGTTGTTGACCGCTTTCAGTGTGTATTTGAAAATATCTATGTGAATTTCCACAGCCTTTTTCAAATCTTCGACTAGCACGTGCTCATCTTTGGAGTGCGCATTGGTGATCGAACCGGCCCCGAACAGATAAGCTGCTTTGAGCTTATTACGAGCAATAAAGTATGGCAAATCTGTATTGAATGCCACAACTTCTGATTCGTATGGCGCTGGAGGCGCTGAAAAAACACGAAAGAAAAATATGAAAAGCAAAATCTAGAAAAAAAGAAAACAAAATCCTCGAAGCATGAAAAACTACCTTTTCTCATACCCATTTGTTTCGAAGCAAATTTCCTCTCATTATTAAGGAAATTTTTATTTTCTAGTCAAAACCCCCTCTTATTTACTCTTTATGAAAAGCTGGGAACATTTTGCAAGTGGTTCAAACTTTAACACACACTCACTAGCAATGGTCTCCTCTTATGAAGGATGTTTAGAAGTAAGCTTAAGGCAAGTCCAAATCTCAGGCATGAAACAGTACCAATTTGCTGCAGAAAAGAATGAAATGGAACAAACAGGAACTGAATGTTTCAGTGGCACAGCCAAGCTGTGGACAGTTGCACAGCAGTGGGTAGGGATATTTCTCAAAGCGCTATGTCCACCAGCTTAATTTCAGAAATCGGCGAAATGCATTTTTCGGATCTCAGTTAGTACCAGTAAGACGTATTGGCTCATTTTTCCCGAAGGACTGATCAATTTCGGCACGACCATCGACAATTTCTTCAAGCTGTTGCAGGATATCCGAAGTAGAGGTAGTCACACGAAAGAATATTGCTGCTGATGCATGTTCCGCCAATGCATTCAGCGCTTCGCCACCCGATATCAGTCCAATATTGACTGTTGTTGCGCCTAAACACTATGTCTATAATAAACAATCGCTGTCGCGAAAAACCAACGAAAAGCCGGCCAAGAAGCAGCCGCAAAAAAAATCTGAAGCAAAGAAACCGGTGGTGCAGCAAAGCAAAGAAACCGGTGGCAAAGAAAGCAAAGAAACCGGTGGCATCTGAAGCAAAGAAACCGGTGGTGCAGTGGTAACACACTGCATCTGGACGTGAACAAGAGTGGTTCGACTCCCTCCCGGCTCAAAACAATTTTTGAGAGAAAGGGCTTCGCTCCGACAATCTGTACGCACTTCTTATGAAGGTTCCCAGCACAGTCGTTTATTTTCTCACGAATACTATTTCCTGATGTATGGTTTTCATAGTTATCAGCAAGCAGGGCAGGCAACAAGCCTCGCCCATCGGACTTCACTTTCTCGCGCAGTTACAGTGATATTCTGAACGCCGTTCATCTGAGGATAGCTTAACTACTAAAACGGTCAAAAAAAGACACGCTAACTTCGCTTCATCGTTTCCACCGTTGACCAGAATAAGTTAAACAAAAAGACAAACCGTATGTTTTATCTGATGGCCACTTATGTGTACGAATATCATGCAGTATGTCGAGCAACTTATCTATTGCGCTATCACCCATATGTGGATAACCAGAATGTGCCGCTTTGCCGTGTACTTTTAAAGTTACCTGAAAATATAACCCTGAAAGGTCGTATTGAAAAGAGAAAAGAAAAGATAATTGGAGTCAAGGCAACTTGAAAAACGGAAGAGTGAGATACAGCAGCAGGGTGGTCGAAGGGGTGCAAAATCAAATAACATCAATGTTTTGCATCAAAAAAGAATTCATGTGAAAAACTTAATAATTTTTATCTGTATAACAATTTCCCCTTGGTCCAATAAGACATTGTGGCCTACAAATTTCACAGCTGTATTGCTCTCAATAAAGACAAGGACATTTCGAAACGGTTTAAGCCTTTGCCAAGTGGCGAGCAATTCAGTAGGTAAAATGAAAGTCGGGATCATCGACAGGCTGAACAGCTGATGCAACACTGGTCAGAAACAACTCGAAAAGTTTCCAGTT